ACAGGCCATCACTGCAGGGACTACAGACCCATTGTTAGAGAGAGACAGTGTCTTCACTGCAGATGGTCGTGTCTGGTGGCGGAGAGCAATGCAAAGGAAACACAGTGCTCTGTGATAAGTTCTGTCTTTGTAGACATTGGGTGTTGGGGGAGCAGATGTTACAGACCCCTTGAGCCTACACCTCCCTTTTCAGTCCAGGTTTACGTAACCCCTCACCCCAGCCTTGCCTCTGTGACTACTACTGGTTCTGTTCTTTTCTAAGTCAGGTTGTACTAAACTTTCTGAGACTGGCTTGTCCAGGTTTCACATCTTGGGTTTTGACTCTTGTCCCTCCTCCTTTGCACTCAGTAGATATCAGCCCTTCTCCTTCCATCCTTGTACATGATCTAGCAGCACTCCAGTGTCCAGCCTGATGGTCATCTGCACCACCAGGCTCAGCCTTCTTCTCTGCCCACTCCAGCACATCCAGAGAAGGTGACTGAGGGCTGTTAGCCCGGCTTCCCTTCCCTTCCTTTCCCTTCCCTTCCCTTCTTCCCTTCTTCCCTTCCCTTCTCTTTTTCCCTTCCCTTCCCTTCCCTTCTTCCCTTCCCTCCTTCCCTTCTTCCCTTCCCTTCTCTTCTTCCCTTCCCTTCCCTTCCCTTCTTCCCTTCCCTTCCCTTCCCTTCTTCCCTTCCCTTCCCTTCTTCCCTTAGCTTCTCTTCCCTTCTTCCCTTCCCTTTTCCCTTCCCTTCCCTTCCCTTCTTCCCTTCTTCCCTTCCCTCCCCTCCCCTCCCCTCCCCTTCCTCCCCTTCCCTCTCCTTCACTTCCTGCTCCTCGCTGAGAAGCTAAGTAACGTTGATCCCCCTGCTCAGCCACTCACCTTCCTCTTCTGTGTGACAGAAATAAACAGCAGTGTGCACAATACCTGATACGACATAACATTCTGTGTGCCAGGGACAGCTCTCATGGCTTCTCAGACTCACATATGCTGTCTTAGTCATTTTGTGTTGCTAACAACAAATACATCTGGGTATTTAAAAATGAGCAGAACTTTATTTCACATAGGGTGTTATTAGTTCCTACAGGTCCTTCCTCTTTAATCAGTCACATTGACAATTCTCAAATTCTGAATTGTGGGGGCTTCTCTCAGATGATAGCAGATGGTAACAGTGGCTCCTTCAGAGGTCTATGAGACTATTAAACAACCTACTGCATCTGAAAACCCAGTTAAAATACAGATCTCAAAAATACACATGTCTTTTACTTTCACTATTAATGTAATTACTGTACAGTGTATGAACACCTCATTACTGATGCTACATAACCATTCTAGAATCTTATTATTAATGGGTTATGACCTGTATGACCTGTCCACTAACTATTTGGGGACATTCTGATAACTTTAATCCCCAGTAATTTTTCTCATTAGAGCACATATTTAGTTACAAGCCTGAAAACTTTGAGAACATTTTTGATGGGGATTGTCTGGTTTTTCAGATTTTACTTCTGGCAGTATTTAAACACTAACTTACATGCTCTCACAGGGATATCTTTTCAGAGAAAGGAAAAATGCATCATTTTTTTGTCTACTAATTGAAAATGGTTACCTGGATGAAAGCTAGATATGATTTTGGGGGAAAAGCAAACACACAAACAAATCATGAGTGCTTCATTGACTGAAATATCTCCCTACCAAAGCTCCCATTGGAGAAGCTTGCTAGACCTTTGGTGTTTGATTGGCTGGAATATTTCCATACCAAAACTCTGACTGGAGGAGCCCGTGAGTACTGCAGTCCCCAGTGGGAAACAACTCTGCTAGACAAGGCAAGACTGCCCAGTGAGGCTCACCCCTACTTGTTTCATCTACATGAATTAGTGATTTCATCGCCTCATTTGTGGTGTAATGGGTTGTTATAGAAATAAATAGCTTTATGAGATGCTAGCTCTTTATTAGGCAGTATTTTAGTCATTGGGTAACTAAATAAATATACAGCATTGGCTTTTCCCCAGGGAGCTGGCTCTCTGTCTTCCACCAGAAATTTCTACCTCTGACATCTGAGCAGTGTGTGTGTGTGTGTGTGTGTGTGTGTGTGTGTGTGTGTGTGTGTGTGTGTGTGTGTGTGTGGTAAGAACTGTTGTTTAGCCTTTGGAGTGGCTACACAGCTGAGCATTGTCCAGTGGAATGTCTGTAGGATGTGCTCTAATGTGGCCTTGAGCTGTGCAAATGCACCATCTGGCAAAGGGACCTTTGTGGAGAGCAACAATGCCTTCTGTGAGAAAGGCAGAGAATTAAGCAGTTAAAGATCTGAGAACCGTGATGAAGATGGAGAAATGTGTTCTATAAATACCCGTGACACTCCTGAAGTCTGTTGGGGTCTTCCCCTTTCTCGGCAGAGCTACTGTGAGCATTAGGAAAGTCTGGGTTCGAGAGGAGAGAACAGCTCAGCTTTTGGATTGCTTCCATATCTGTCAAAATTCAGCTGTCCCTGAAAATGTGTTCATGTTTGTCATGTGTTTCATGGACTCTGAGATTTTTTTTTTGGTATCAGTTTTTAGATGACAGAAAACTGAGATGTTATCAAAATTCATATTCATGGCTTCTGCCTATTTTGGTTCCAACAGGATCATGTGGGTGAAGCAAGTAGAGTTCTGGGACTTCATTGATACACTAGATAAGGGACTGAAGAGTAATATTGATCATGAGATAAATATGCAGCACAACTCCTTTATATAATTAATTTATGCTATTATATATATTATGTGCAGAATCCATTATGATGGTGATTCCACTGTGTATAGATTTATCATTGTGGACCAAGTTTCACATTTCCCTAAATCTTCAGACCAGTTTTTGATGCTGATTGCTATTTGTCAGTGATGAAAGCTAACGTTAGGGAGGATATATAATTTCCCTCAAATCGTACAGAAGCTATTTAAGTGTATGGGTTTTGAGTCTACTTCATTTCTTCTAGGTTTCTTTCCATATTGTTTCCTTCCATATTTTCTGGCTGCCCAGGAAGCACATTAGAGACGAGCTTAGAACTGATTTCACTCACTGGTTCGTTTGCTCATCCATCCTTTCATTCCTTTGTCCATCCACTTGTTTCCCTTTAGTCGTTTGCCTTTTCAGTTCATAGATATATTTTCTATATCTGCTAGGCTCAGAGTGCTTTGTGAGACATGTGGATCGTTTGAACATGAATCCTGTGGTACACTGGAAAGCCAGGTCCCTAGTGTCTCAGAGATGTTAACTGCTTTTTACTAATAGCTGTTCCTGGGGCTTGAACTCAAGGCCTAGGCACTGTTCCTGAGCTTTTTCACACAAGGCTAGTACTCTATCACCTTTGCAACAGCTCCACATCTAGCTTTTTGGTAGTTAATTGGAGAGAAGTGTCTCACAAACTTTCCTGCCTGTGCTGGCTTCAAACTGTAATTCTCAGATCTCAGCTTCTTAAGTAGCTAGGATTACAGGTATGAGCTACTGGCTCTGGGCTCTGGTCGCTCTTCTTAACTTAAGTAGGACTTGATGTGGGTATTCTCATTTGTGTCCCAGCAAATATCTGATTTTTACTTGTATTCACCTCAATTTTAGAGGCTTCTGTTCATATGTATCAAGGTAGAAAAACAAAGCATTTCTTGTACATATTTGCTGATTTTAATAATGAGTCTGGCAGGAGAGGTGAATGATCCTGGCATGGCACAGACACACCCTCTGCTCACACCCCTGTTGGCACCTCTGTACGTGCTAGTGACACTGCAGGAGGGTGCAGGTTCCTACACACACTGCCACTTCTAGTTCTGCGGTGTGAATTCCCTGTAATTGATAATAACTAACTTTCTGCATTTTTATGATACAGACATGACTGCTAGTGTTTAAATTCCGTAATTATAAGGTCATCACTTCCTAAGTAAATCAGTATTCTCTGTTGTTAGCATATATCAATTACTATACAAGGAAAGTTTATTCTGACATATCCATACCTGCATCAATGCATCCTAATCAAATTGACCCCGTCACTCGGTCCTACCCAACTCCCCCTTAAAAGTTTCAATCAGTTTCATTATTCTATTTGCACATGTGCAAATAAGCCACTTCAACCTTATTGGCCTCTATTAACCCTTATTAGCCATTCCCCTTCCCTCTGACCTCTAGCCCCAAGTAGATCCTACTTAATTTTTCTGTCATTCATTTTTTTAAAGTGTATGTTCCATCTTACCAACAGGTTTTACCATAGGATTTTAAATAAACACATATTATACTCTGATCACAATAACTACAGAAAAAAAGACAAGTAAATCAGTTTTAAAAGAAAGTTATGTGCAGACTGGACCTAGGGGCTCATGCCCATTATCTCACCTACTTAACAGGCAGAAATTGGGAGGCTCCTAGTTTGAGGATAGCCCAAACAAAATTGTAGCGAAACTCTATGCCAACCAATAGGTAGGCCAGGTGGTACGTGACTCATTTCAACTACATGGTCCACGTTGGCCTGGGCAAGTGTGAGACCCCACTCCCCAAAGACATAAGACAATAATGGACTTGCAGTGGGTGCAAGTGTCAAGAGTATCTGCCTAGCGATTTCAACATCCCAAGTTCAAATCCCAATGCTGCAAAAAAAAAAAACCTCAAATAAGCAAACAAACAAAAAAACAAAAACAACCAGATGGATATTATTTGAACTGTGCTTTCAAGGTGTCCTATAGCATTATTTTCTCCTAGCTTTTATGTCCCTTTGAATATTGCCATAGTTCTCTGTCTCCATGTATCACCTACACCACATTTCCGCTTCTGTCCCCAAGCTGGTCTAGCATGTGCCACATGCCAGTGCTGTGGCTCTGGGGACACGTGTGTCCAAGTTCATCAATGCCACATGACTGTTGCCGTTCAATTCTTCTACCACATGCAGGGGTGGCACATGGACAGACTTTAATATATTTTTCACCATGCAGGCCTGAGGAGCCGCTCCTCTGTTGGGCTCTGAATGTGTGTTCTTACACATTTCTACCTTGTTCCCAAACAGAGCTGTGACCTGGAACAGCAGAGCCTCGTCCACATTGTGCAGAGACCATGGGGAAAAGGGCAGGGCACGAATGCAACTGGAGGCCATGCACCTGGGAACCCCTGTGCGGGCCCGGACAGGGAGCCCAAGAGCTTGACACGCGTGGACCTCAGTGGCTGCGTCCTGCCTGCGCACTCCGTGGGGCTGGCCGTCATTCTGGACACAGACGGCCGGAGTTACTCCCCAGCAGCCGCAAGGCCCGGTAAGTGCAATGGCCCGTGCGGTGTGCGGTCGCTCACGTGTCTCCTTTGCTTAATGAAGTCTCCCTCCGCGGAGACAGGCTCCCTGTGTCTGCACGTGGCTCACGCAAACCTTCAAACTTAGGAGCTTCAAGTCTCTGCAGAGAGACCTGTCCAGGGAGACTACGCGGATGTAAACTGTGAGAACAGTCCATGTCCTCATGGCTTCGAAGAAGAGGGTGGGTAGAGAAGCCATCAGGACCTTAATAACCATCCACAGGGTTTGCTTTTTTCTCTTCTCAGGAGCTGGAGGGCATATGGGCACATGATAAGTTGATTATGTAATTAAGGTTATAGGTGTCCTCACGTGTCACCTTTCTTCTACTTCTGAAGATGTATTTTGTTTGACTGTTTCTCATGATGCGAGGAGTGTCGAGAAGGTAGAAGGGTGGTTAAGGACGTTCTTCAGGCATGCATCGGTCTCAGGCCCCAGCGCGCAATATCAGTGTGGTCTCTTGTGTGAATTCAGTCTTTCTGCTCTCTGTGCTGCTGCCCATTCCAAGTGCTTTTCCTTGGTTTGTTCTTACCAAAAAAAAAATACCTGAAAGTAGGAATTGAAGGCGGACAGAAATATATTCCTCAGAGGTCCACAGGATCCCCTCACTGGTGGGGCGAGAGTTGCAGGAGCGCCTGTGTTCTGCTTCTGAGATGGAGCTTATTCGAGTGCCCACAGGGGTGGAGGCCGCCCTCTCGAGACGCAGAAGGGCTGGGATGGCAAAAGGGCCAGATGCTGCATTCAATGTTCCTCAAAAGAACCCTTACACCAAAGACACGTGTTTCCAGGAGGATATATTCTGTTCTTTTAGACATTGAAGGTAGACTGTTCTCTTACTGGACTTACCCTCATGACTCATGAGTTCATCTTTTATAAGACCTCTGAAGGCTCCTCCTTTTCATTCTGTTACCTTGGCAATAAGTTTCAGCATGATTATTGGATGGGACACACACATTTAAATCACACCAGATGGTCATCTTTTGTTCCTTTGACAATCTTCTTGGCTTTTCCTTAGTCTTGTATTCTCAGGTGTAAAGATTCAAAGATTTGATAGGATTCATTTTGTCTCTGTGTGAGAAAATAGCCACTAGCCAACTTTCCAAGACAGTTTAGATCTTCCTCACAGAGTAGGACAAGACATACACTGCTCAATGTCACTGAGGCCTAGGAGCAACAATGGATAAACTAAAATAATAAGAATTCCTTCCTGCTAAAATTACTAAATAAAATCAAATAGATTTAGAAATTTATAGATAAGGATAATTTTCCAGGGCAAGTGAGGCATCAGGGACTGGTGTTCTGGTATCCTTGGGGTAGCAGTAGAGAGGCAAGCCTGTACTTCACATGCAGTGGTAACCAAATGACTGGAGAAAATATCTGAGAAATAGGAAAAAAATATCAAAAAATGGGATAAAGGAGATGAAAATAAATGAATGTGTTCCAGCAGGGAAGGTGCTACTAGCCTGAGACTGATGGCATGGGCTATGTTTAAATCAGTCTTGCAGACATATGCAATATTATGCCTCCAGAGGAAGAACAAATCCCACTCAGACCCTGAACTCAGTGCAGAGGATATCCACCTCAGTGTGTAGGAGAGAGATGCCACTGCAAAGTTTGCCTCTTTTGCATGAGGAGCTTCTTTAAAGCTGATTGAGAAACAGTAGGCACAAAGGAAACTCAAAATACAGTGGACATTTCCACCTAGAGAGGTAGAAAAAAACCTGAGAGGTTTCCCTCAGTGTGGGAAGCGAGGTCTGAATCCCTGGATACTCATCACCAGCCCTTGTTCAGTGACATTCCTGAGCTCTTTGCAGTCACCTCCTCGTAAGTAAGTAGCTTCTAGACACCCTTCCCTTGTATTTAACCAAAGGTAACCTGTGAGCCTGAATTCTAGGCCATCTCCCCTGGTAGCTCCCATATATGTACATGAGATACGTACCTTAATCTGCAGCTGTCCCAGGGTTCCAGTTACAAATTATGAAGAGGAGAGAGAAATTTATTTTCTATGCTACAAGTAGAAATAAACATGCATTATAAGCTAAAGGGTTAAAATCTCCCAAAATATGAGAAGATTTAAAAAAATATTCTGAGACAGAATACAAAATAAAGTATGCCTTGTTGATTTAATATATACAAAGAAGACATCTGAAACCTAAAAAAGAAAATAGACATAATAGAAAAAAGTAGCTGTTAAAGAAAACATAATAACTGTTGGAATGAAATTAACAACCTCAATGGATAGTTAGAATAGAAACTGGGCATTGCCCAAGAGAGAACTTGTGAAATAAAATAGACACGTAAGGCGTATGGAATGAGCTTTCAAGATATTATCTTATTCCTAAAGGAGCCCAGAGAAGACAGATACTTTCCCAAAAGAATGGCTTCTCCAGTGTGAATGAGTGAATAAAAAGAAAAGATATCAGGACGTATCATACCTTGATGAGCTATACCTTACAGTCTGACAATATGAAGTGCTGGACAATTAGTGTTTTTATAGACTCTGACACCATTCATCCACCATAGATTTAGTAGTTAGTAAAATCCAAGAGATGCACTTTCTGTAACATCTATCTATCTATCTATCTATCTATCTATCTATCTAATCTATCATCTATCTGTCTGTCATCTATCTATCTACTTATCTATCTATCTCTCTGATTATAGAGACAAAATAGCTTTTCTTAGGCAGAACTATCAAGAGATAACTAGTGTTTCTTAATAGATTATGACAAGCCTGATAATTCCTTAGTTAAAGCAAATGAGCAGGATCTACATGTGACAACATTAATAAATCTCCAAACTGCAGTGTTAAAGTTTTTTTTAAAGTTTCTTTATTGCAAATAAATATTTAGTAAGACATGGTTATATAAAATGTCCAACATCCCACCCTGAACAGTTATAGACACTGCTTATTGATGGGACAGCCATTATCTTACATGTTTTATTTCAATAGGATATGGTTGGAAATTGGACATGGTACTAACATTTAATTAAAATATATACATACAGTTTTAAGATAATTATTGAGCAGGTCACTTGATTATATTTGTGGATCAATAAACTAGCTCTATAATATGGTTTCCAAAATTCTTTTAAAAATTCCTTTCAAAAATTCATGAATATGAATATGAATCTTTATGAATTGAATCTTTATTTACTCCCTCAGCATTAATAATACTAGAGGAATCCTCCTGTGTGCACCTTGACAACCTTAGAATGCATTTTCTACTGTATCTTATTCAACTATGTTGCCATGGATATTTATCTGAAAAATGTTAAGTATAGACTTTATTTTATTATGATGCGGCCTTTACTCTTCTCCAGAATTGTCTGTTATGATTCATAAATTTTGGATTATTGATACTTTTTGGTTGACTTAATCTCAAGATCACACTGTGTTTAGTTAAAAATATGTCCTCTCTCTGGACTCTAAAAATACTTTACTAAAAGCCTAATAGTCTGTTTATATTTTAAATTGAAGTATGTGAATACTTGACCCCAAGCAGTGGAATGAGTCATTTCTTGAAAGTGTTCGCAGTGTGTTGAATGCGCGGCGTTGTCCCATGTGCTCTGTGAAGGGCTGAGGTAAGCTCTGCTTCCTCAGCTTTTCTGTTGCCTCCCACTTGTGAGTGCTCTGCTTCTCATGCCCCCTTTCTGGTGACTAGTCACTCTCTGGTACGTGCTCTGGGGCTGGTTGTGACACCACTAGCTAGTGTGTGTATGTGTGTGTGTTGGGGGGTGGGAAGCAGGCGTGCTATCTAGCACATTTTTCCTAGCACAGCGCCAGCCCTGGGAACGCTCACCCTGACACCCTGAATGTTCTCACTGAAATGAACTTGTAGATTATATAAGAGAGATTGGCTATCCCAGGTCAACTTTAAGATTTAACTCAGGTTCAACTGAAAGTATAGTCATTCTGTAATCTTTCTTCACATTGGAAAGGTTAACTTCCTTTTCAGAGGCCTTGTATCTTGGTTTTGGTTATTGGGGGTGGTGTTTTATCTTTTGAAGTACCCTACCCTCTAAATGGAATTTAGGGTATTTTAATTAGGAGAGAAAGAGAGTGAGAAAAATAGAAACAGACAGAAACAGAGACAGAGAGAGGAGAGGAAAAAAGGAGTCTTATTTTTGCTTCTTTTTATAATAGCTAGCTATTGTTTAGATTAATATCAGCTACTAGACAGCAGTACCTCTTATTACATTCTATTTTTGTTCTTTACTTCCAATTATAGGATATATTTAATCTCTCTGAAAGGATTTTTCTTTTTCCAACTAACTGCCATTTCAACCCCAAATCCCTAGAAAAGAAGAGATAAATGTTCACTAAATTACTTGAAATTGTAAAAATACTAAATCATTGGTCACAATTTCTGTGTATATAGTTCATAAAACTAATGTGTTAGTTAAAAGCATACAGAGAAATCAAGTTGTTACTTCTTTCACTATCTTATCTGTTTCCTTGAATAGGATGAGTTGGAATGGATGCTTATGTGATTATGCTCCTTTAGTAAAAACAATAATGTGTTGTTCTTAGAGCCACGACTCACAAACTCAACTGTGCAGATGAATTACCTCACAAAGTAAGCTGCTTTGGACAAAAATTTCTTACATTATAAGAAGAGGAAATTCTTTTTGTGTATTCTACAGCCAGGACTTCTGATTCAATTGGCAAGGGGTAGAGATACAGAAATTCTAGTATACATCATTTGAGAAGCACGTGTACCCAGCCAAGCTCAAAGAATGGCCTCAGAGAAAAGTAGAGTGAAAAAGAGCTTTTACTGGTGGTTGTGCAGCATGGGAGGTCCAGTGAGCAAGTGTGCCCCAGAGGCCTCCGTGATGCTCCGTCTGCCCTGGGCTTCCTCATGGGTTGTACAGTCTTTCCACACACTGCCTGAGGGTCAGTATCTCCTCATCTTGCTCCATTCCCACTTGAGGCACAATTACCCTTCATTTTCCTCTGCCCTTCCT